GAAAGAAAAATAATTAGAGAAGACTATCAACAATGTTTTGAAAATATTTAAAATAATCAATATAATTAAAAAAAATAAACTTATATAAGTTGCATTTAATTAATCTCTTGTATTTAACTTTGCTTTATTCATTTTTCTTATACAAAATTTAAATTTCATTTAAAAATTTAAAAATAAAATTAAAAATTAAAGAAAAAAAGTAAAATACTAATAGTATAATTTTACCTATAAATAAACATATTTAGACATCTTTAATATTTTCACATCTTGATGATAAAAAGTCAATCAATCACCGATTCAATACTGTTATTTTCTTTTTATCTTATTCCTTCTGAGAAAAATATCTTTATATATATATATATATATATATATATATATATATATATATATATATATATATAAAACTTTTAGAGTGTATGTTGGAAAATGTATTATTATTATTTTTTTAGAAAAAATTTAAACTTTTAGTTTGGTTTGGTTTGGTTTGTCTTATTTCTATCATTTGTGTTTGTGTCAATACATATGCACACTAATGATTGATGTAAACAATTTCATCTGATCAATCATCACAAGTAACGAAGATCATAATCAGATCAAAGGAAAACAATAGAAGAAAATCTTTAAGTGGCCCCTTTGGATGTGGCGATGACTAGAATTATCTTTCAACAGCTTTTATTGAATTTTTTTGTCCTAGACGATATTGTATATATGGATTCTCCTAAATGCAATAGATACACTTCATGTTCCTCTGACATCCAAAATCTGAGACGCGTTCTACAAATCTTAAAAGAAAACCGTGTTGATATGTTTTTTGTTTTGAGTTTCAAGGGACGATAATAATTTTATGACAGGACCAATATTTTTAATACTTGGTTATGTAATCATGCTCAAACCTACCAGAAAACGAACCTCATGTTATGTTAGTTAGTTGTACCCAGAGTATTAATTGTTTATAGTGAAGGCGTATGTGTAGCTAAAAAACAGATTATTTAGCTTCTGGAGCACATGCATGCTGTTGACGAGAATGAGGAAATCCCCCAAATTCCCACACCTTCAAATTTATAAAGTCAATATAATCATATTTTTGTTTATTTATTATTATACTTATCCGCGATTAATATTTAATGAAGTTCTGAGGCTTCCAAAGCTTCTCTTCACATGTAACGATGATGCGTACGTTGTTTATAATGCAATTAAGAACATTTAATTATTTATTAAAAGAACTTAGTATAATTGAAAACTTAATTAAATCTTTTATCAAAATCTTTTTGAAATGGAAAATGAAAAAGAAAAAATAATCTTTTAACCACAACCGACATAAGGGGGTAAGGTGGGCTTAGGCCCCCTCTTTTATATTTTTTCTTTTGGTACTACACATATATGTATATATAATACTATATTTGTTTGTTATATTACTTATGACCTCCTTCTTTTGGTCTTCTCTTTTATATTTTTTCTTTTGATACTGTGCATATATGTATATATAATATTATATTTATTTCTTATATTACTTATGACTCTCCTTTTTTAGAATATGAAATATTAGTATTAACTTTAAAAAATTAATAAAAAAATAGCTATTTAAGTACAATTTTCTTTGACTCACCACTGTATCAGCAACATTGTTATATTAGTTCATTCTTTGTCTTTTTATTAGAAATTAAACTTAAAAGCTTCTCTAACAGGCCAAATAAAAATTTTATTTTTTATATATTTTTTAGCACCTCTTGAATAGTTTCTGGGTCCGTCACTAACTATTGCCAGACTCCAGTGATTCAACTAAAAGTCTATACATAGTTATCTAAAGAATAAGGTCCAATGCACCTTCTAGATGAATGAGTTTTATTTTAGAAGTAAAAGTATTCAGATAAACATTTTCTATGTATCTGAAAAGAAAATAAGAATCATCTATCATCACATGCACTAGCAAAATATGTGACAAATACTCAAAAAGGGAGGGAAAATAATCTCTATACAGTAATAGTTTAGTTTGTGCTCATATTGCATGTCTAAACTCTTTTAGTAATTTTTAAAAGAATTTTACTTTTAAAATTAAGTTATCACTTCCTTATAAAACAAAGTTCTCTCAAACATTCTTTAAATTTTTTTTATGATATTTAATTCAGGGCTTGACTTTATAGTTTTAACTATGACTAAATAATTTTGAATTCATTCTTATCACTCCCATTCATCTAAATAAAAAAATTAAATTGAAGCACAACATAAGTGAGGCGGTAATAAAAAAAATTATAAATATTTTTTATATATTTTATTTATCTGACTAGCAAAGCCAATCAGATGCATGTTTTATGGTTGCTAAATTATGTAAGCACGAAGACCTTGTTATAAATTCTTCAACCACCGATATAGCAATTATTCTCATATCACATTTCAATCTAGAATGACCTTTGACTTGCGGCAAATTCTCTCGATCACTTTATAGGCAACATCTTAGCCTAAAATTTTGTTGACATGACCCGTCGACTGAAGCTCTTTTGCCCTTAATATAAAACTAAAGCAAATTAAACGGCCATTATTTTTTAATTTGAATCTTCTCATATTATTAAATATGATATAGTTGTTGGAAACAAAACAAAAAAAGTTGATCAAATTTTATTAGTGAGCCCTTCAATCAAGTATGATACATCTTTATTTGATAAAAATTATTTATTTTCAACGTCACCATGTCATGTTAGGTACCAATATAAAAAATCCAAATACATATTTAAAAGGATTAAATCCTTAATATTAAGGTAAAGAATATAATTTATAGGTTGATTCAAGTACTCCATACTTATATTTTCTTTAACAATTTTGGCTTTGTATATAAAAAAATATTAAAAATAATTTATTATGTTATAAACATATGTGATTTAGATAAAAAAAAATATATAAAATAAAATAAAAATAAACATAAAATTATTTGTTACAGAGGAGCATGACAAGAATACCTCAGTAATATAAATTATATGTACTTTATTATATATTATGTATATCAAGGTCGTTGGTAGATTCGATTCGAGTTGGAAAGAGAATCGTCTAAATTTATCCACTTCATGTTGTTTTATTATTATATGAGCTCAATTTGGTATATCAATGTATTTGTTTTTGGTATGCATATTATATATTCTCAAATAAAAGATACGGCGGAGGAAGCAAAAAGACAATTGATAAAAATGTTAAATTTAAATATTTATATCACTTAATAATTAAAATAAATCCATTAATTTAATTATTGAATTATTCAATATTTTTTCACAATTATATATTTAAATATTTATAAATATATTATTCAAAATTTAATATTTATTTTTACACCGGTTCAAATGATTAATCAGACTTTATAATTATACATATTCCGTGAGTGGAAGCGCGTGATCTGCGGCTAACATGGGTTTAGAAAATTAGTCATTTTATTGTTGTTTTATTTTATTTTTTCCTTACTTTTTGTAGCACGTCACCTATTTTCTTATTTTTCTTTTTCCTTCGTAACTCTCTCCTAAGTATGAAAAGAATTACTAAAAAAAATAAATTGGAATAAAATTGCTCATAGAAAATTTGGAACCGTATGTTTCTCTTTCGTTTTTTTATTTAGATATAAACTGAAGCATATAATACGAGGCTCTTGAAGCTGAGCTTAGCGTGTTGAAGTGACACGTGTGATTCCACTGCATGCGTCATTTTAGTGAACGTGTCATGAGTGTGTGGGTGAATTGTGAATGTGATGACTAATTAGGTAATGTTTTCCTGGGCTTTCCCAAGCTCTTCCAAATTCAAAATGTCAATTCAAACAGCTTTATGCTTCGTTAATTTGTTGAAAAGCGACTCAAAACAAAAAGCTCCTCAATCAGAGTTTGTGATTCGTGGAGGGACAGCCAGCACATACACACATACTACACCCCGGCACATGTGTTTGAGACAAAACAACTTTTTGAGCAGTGACGATTATGATTACTCCCAGAAAGTTCAACAAACCAAAGTGTTCTCAACAGTTTAAAAAATGATTTCTTACAAGTAACTCTAGCGCACTTTTTGATTGCGTAGTAGGTTGCAAGATTTATATATTAAAAAGTGTAATTCAAATTTCAACATTTCCCCCACAGATTTATCTTGGTTTACAGCACATTGCGTAGCCCTTTCTTACAGTCGAAGAGAAAAAGCTGGAGCTCCCTTCGACCTTGTCTTAAAGCATTGACCCATAAAGCGGGAAAAATAAAGTTATTTATTATGAAATTCCAAAAATTCTAAACATTTTAAACCTTATTGACTTTTTGCCTCTGACCCATGCACTACAAATTCTCCTTCTCATACGCCTTGAAAAAACAAAATGTATGGTTGAAAACAGTGAAATGGGTATGAAGGTCGGTTTGTTGATGACGGACCGTCAACGTCGGCAGCCCAATCCATCGACTGCGGCCATTTATCTCGCCGGTGCCATTAATTACGTAAACGTAAGCTCTTGCAAGCACTGTGCGTGTTCAACACCCTTCATTATTGCTTAATACAAGGAAGCTATAACCATATGATAGAAGAACATGATCATATATATCAATCTTTTCAATTATGGGTTTCTTTGCCATAGTCTAATAAAGTATGAAACATGATTACATTAATTAATAATAACATTACATAATCAAACTTTTCATTGATCATACCAAGAAGATTTCCATGGTGAGGGGTATAATTAAAGATATTCGTAATAATTAATCATAGAGCAAATCAAACTCTTCATTAATGGATAGGGGAATTAATGACTGAGATATGGAACTTGTACAAACCAGGCTGACTAAAAGCCCACACTTCACATCCACATGGACAGAGTGCTCTCTCTCTCTCTCTCTCTCTCTCTACAATTTCATCACATAAAAAAATAAAGAAAAATGACCATTTTTTTTTTTCACTACTCCACCAAAAATATTGGGGAGACCCAAAAAAAAAAAAAAAGGAAAATAGAAATGAATTGTGCATGAGTTTGAGATTTGACACGGTACGAGACCAGGTTACCGTTCTTCTTGTTCACGATGATCGCGAGACGATAACCGGAAAACCCACTTGGGAAGAGACATTCTCTTGGAAGTTCCGTTGAACAGAGCACTCCTCTGAGTGCAACCAACGCTGGCAGTGGTGGACTCTGCAACGAAGGCTTTCAACCTTTTCATGGCCAAGTTGAGAGTCTCCACGGACATGTTGGCGAAACAAACACGGAACCACCCTGGCTCAACGCAATGGCACGAAGACCCTGGTGAAATGTTCAACCCAACTTTGTACACTATTTTCTTCCACAGCTCCATCTCAGCTTCAAACGTGTTTGAATGCAAAAGGTGTCTCAGGTCAACCCAGCAAAACAACCCCGCATTGCTCTCTAGGCAACTAATACCAGCTTTTTGTAACCCCGAAACGAGCATTCCCTGTCGTCGTTTAAGCCTCTTTTGGTTTTTAACGATGTATTTTTTGGTGAACTTTTTGTCCCCTAGCATGGCAGAGAGGAGGTACTGCGTTTGCGATGAGACCAGGCCGAAGCTTGACATCTTGGTCGCCGCCGCAACGACGTCGTCGTTTTCGGAGTAGATGGCACCCACGCGGAAACCCGGCAAACCCAAGTCTTTGGAGAGACTATAGACAACGTGAACTCTGTTCCAAACTTGGTCACAATCCCTAATGTCGTTTCTTTCCTTGAGGATTTGCATGACGCTGACGAAGTCTGGGGAGCTAAAAACGGTGCCGGAGTATATCTCGTCGCTTATCAAATGCATGTCGTTTTCGTCTTTGATAAAGTCAACGAGAAGGTTCAATTCACTCTTTGACATTGTTGTGCCTAATGGGTTTGACGGGTTTGTGACCAAAACGCCTTTCACTCTTAGGTTGCGCTTGCGTGCCTCTTCATAGGCTTGTCGCAGTGCAGGCTCCGTAATTTGAAAGTTATTAGAACTTGTGCATTGTATTGGAACGATCTCCACCCCAGTTCTCCACTTAAGGTCTCTATCAAATCTGCGCAAGTGTATAAACCAAGATCAGGGGAATGTATAAAACACATAAAATCATATAATATTGAAACACAAGTTTTATTAATTTGTAGTATATTGCATAAGATTATGAATATTAATAATATTAGATACGCACCCTGGGTAGTAAGGAGTTGGAAGGAGAAATGCGTCTCCTTCTTCTGCGAGACAGAACATTAAGGTTTCGTTTGCAGAAGTAGAACCAGCTGTGAGAACGATGTGGTTGGGATCAAATGTGACTTTGTTTCCTCTAATCTCAGCCATGAAATCTACCAATGCGTTTTTGAAGGAAGGCAAGCCATTGTAGTCTTGAAAGAGAGCTAGTTCTCTGAATATGGATTTGCCATCTCGCTTGAATCCTGCCACATCAGGGTTCTTATCGAGCCATGACTCTATGAGATCAAAGGAGAGCTGCAAAACATATATAAATTTCGTAAGCCATCTTATACAATAATAAAGTTTGAACGTAGGGAAGGGACATGTATGTAATGTTGTGGTTATGAAAAGCAATGTCTAACCTGATTCTCTGCAAGACCCATCTGAATAATCCCTTTGGTGTTATGAACCTCATCGTAAGGGTTCTTCTCGTATTCCTGCCATCCTAAGAAGTATGAGGAATCTTGGCCATGATTATTGCACGTTGCTTTCGTGGACAAGAGCTTCATTTTCGTATTTGGGGGGAAGTGGGAAGGAATGAAGAAGTGCTTATGTGAAGAAGTAAGACTCTGAAGGAAGAAGAAAGGAGAGGAAGAATGAATATATGGAGTGAAATGTTGAAGATGAATTGGTGTGAGGAGTAGCAAGGTTGGTTGTATATTTATATATGCAAAGTCCTACTAGGAAAGAAGGCCACGTGGTATTGCAGAATCTCTTTTGACTAAAATATATAGGAGATGAAGAGAGAGAGAGATGAGAAGGTGACAGAACCTCTGAATAAATGCGTTTAAATTAAAAGCGCTTTAGTCCACCGCCCCAACCATGTCACGAGAAGTCCACGCTCCTAGTATCACTCAATAATGAGGAGTGACTAAAATATAATTGACACTATTTGTGGAAAGTGTCTCCCACCGGGTATAACCTCGCGTGGGATTTCGAGTATATGCGACTCAAGAAATAATGAATGTTTTTCATTTGTTTGTAGTTTATATTGGCCTCAACTGGAGGGGTATTAATTATGTCTACACAGGGTTAGAATGTGTATTAACATGGTAGATGAAGATAAAGAAGGGAATAGAAAAGGGTGATAAAACATGAGAGGGAGAGGGAAAGGGAGAGGGAGAGGGGAGAGGGGATTTTTGCGAACTTGGTAGAGAGGCCGAGAACGCCATACCGACAGCAAATCCGATGGAAAGTGGGTCACAGAGGTCCGTCAAGACTTAATTTGGACCCTTAGCCTATGACCGTGTGATGGCCCATATGTTCCCTGGTTTCACTAACCCAGTCCAATTCGTGTCGGCCATTTTCTTCAACCCACTTTTAACCTCCCCAAACATGCCCCCTAGGTTTCTCCTTTCTCTCTTTCTTGCTCCTCGTCTTAATATATTCGCACTAGCATGCTAACAAATTTGTTGATTTGGAGCCAAGACGATACAATCTGTATTTGGCATCAAGACAATATTACTGATATGTTTCTCCCGTTGTATATACGTTTTCGTTATACTCTTCCACCTACAGATTGCATCACGTAAGCATATCAATTACGGAATATCAAATTCATTGGTCAAACTTGGCAATTTTATATTAATATCATCACAATGGCCTTTTCAACCAATTCCCAAGCAAAATGGTAAAATTTTATATAACTGCTATGTGCCACGTGACATGTGTCAATGCCCGCTTTTTGTTTCCTCCAATACTTCATCCTTTTATTTATGTGTTCAAGCATGTTGCGCTTGAAATACAATACAAGAAACATTTTTAAGGTTCAAGACTCGGTATTCATAAGCTCCTGGTGCACTTCGTGTAAATTTCTTAGAGAAAAAGAAATCCTTATAAAAATTAAATAAAATTTTCCTTATGAGTTCAAAATATTTTTTTATTTTTTGACATGTTCTTATTTAACTTATTTAAAATTTGAAAAGATAAATAGCTTTTAACTTGTAAGACAAATTTTATTAATTTTTTATTCTAACTTTTTTAATAAGAATTTATTTAAAAGTTTATTCAAATTAAACTATAATTAAAAAAGGGTAAAGTTCTCATAGTTTTTATTTATTAAAAATATTTTAATTCCAGCCATACTTAAAAGACATCGAATTTCAGAAATTATTTTTATTTTAATTATAAAATTTTTAAAAATAAGAAAAAAATAAAAAAGTGATAATTTTGTAATTAAAATTGAAAATAAAAATATTTTCAAGAATTAAATTTCCTTTTAATTATTTCAACTAATAAATATTAACTTAATAAAAGAAAAAAGATAATAAAAAAAACTGCAGGTTTTGATATTCTTGTATAACGACGATAATAATAGTTAGTTTTGTATGAATTTAAAATGATAATAACAAAGATTGTGAATCAGGTGGTTCCCAAAAGTGAGGCCCACAACAAAAGTAGTTGATAGAGGGTAATACGCTTTGTAGATATCTATGGTGGTTGATATTCAGGGGTGGAACTAGAATCTAAACTCTAGAAGGTTAAATTCAGTTTAGATTCAAATTATAAGAAGCTTTTCATATTAGAAATAACTAAAACTTAAATAGTTACAATTTTAAGAAATTTAGTGACTGTGACCCTCGCGCTGTGAATCAAATCTTCGGTCGTTATTTACTTGTCTGTCTCCATGTCTCTCAAAAACACACACAAGAAAAAAAAAAAAAAAACCATCTTTAGTTGACAATAATGGTTCACTTATTATTATTATTATTATTATCATTATTATTATTATTTAGATAATAAAATACACCTTTCTTTTACTGATTTCATCATTGTTCATCTTTTTTATAAACTTTAAAAATTTTGAAATTGCTAACTTCTTCATTTTTCTAAATTAAATTTTTATCTTAAATCTTAATGGATTATATTTTTAAATTATTTTGTATGATGCATACATATATTAATTATTTTAAAAGTTATTAACATGCTTGTGAAAGAAATCATTAGAGGAAAACAAAATATGAATACATTTGACTCTTCTGAAATTCGAAAGAGTATAAAATGAGAAAATAAAAGTGTATAATTTTTTTTTAAAAAAAAAGTAGCTTAATTTAAATGTCATAATTTATATAAAAGGTAAAGGTAGCGTTATTTTAATGATTCAGAGCGAAATCTGAAACAGAGAAAGTCCTAAATGTAGTTTCGCCCCCAGGATTTTATAAAAACAAGAGGCATAATTTAATAAAAGGGAAGGGAATGCATATAAATTAGAGCAAGTTGGTGGCTAAATTTAAAAATATTAGAAATGAGGCAATAATTGGAAATGGCTTGCAACCTGCCACCTGTCATCCGCCCTTAGTTTTTTAGCTACCTGATTTCTTAGTATTGAATCGGATTATTAATTCGCGTTAGGTGAAATCAGATCTAGAGGGTCACATAAGCCCCCAAAAGAATGTGGTGGTTTAATATGAATATGAGTGATATCCCTAATAGCAATTAGCAATTAGCAATTTACGATTACGAGAAGGGTGAAAGCGTTGATCCATTTTGGGTAATAAAGTGATCAAACTGACAGTTTACGACTGCGACTGGCCCACTGTTGATCCCGGAGATTATCCCCGCTCCCTGATTTCCAAACCCTCTTTCCCTTTCTTTTCTTTTCTTCACTTTTTATTTTACAATAAATAAGCATATAATTTAATAATTTCAAATAAAAATTTACATTATATATATAAGAAATTTTTTAAATAATAATTTTTAAAAATTATTTTAACTTAATTATATAATTTTAAATAGATAAAAATTTAATAAAATTAACTTATTTCAAATATAATTTATTTAAAATTTATATTTAGTATATGTTATTTTTAAATATCATATTATTAAAAAGCTAAGTTGTTTTTGGGGTAAACCCTTTTGGTTTTTAACGTTGTTGCCGAGAATAGTGACAGACAGCTAATGACGCATTTAGCTTTGGCGTTTCAAGGTTGAGGTGGGTTGCCTTGAAAGAAACTATGTAGAGTAGCCCTACCAAACTACTAAAGCGTTGGGATGCATAATAAAGACCGTTAATTTAAAATAAGATTTTTAAATAACTTTATTAAATTTAATTTTTTAAGATTGAGTCTAAGTATTTATAATAAAAAATTTATTATATTAAATATGTAAAACTATAACAAATATTTTACTTTTTAATAAAAAAAATATCGATATTAGTTGGTTAAACTTAATATTAATGACAGAAATTAATACAAATATTTTTTAATATATATTCAAAGATATGTAATAAAAAAATTATATATGATACTTTTTATAAATTATTAAATTTAAAGCATTGATAAAATATTATAATTTTAATATAATTTTATTATTTATTAAATTTTTTATTATATATCTTTGAATATATTAAAATATAGTTTAAAATAATTATATTAAATATTATTTTTTATATTTTATTAATAACAAAATTCGTTCTCGGTGTTATTTATAAGTAACAAATACTTAATTCATCAAAATTATTATATATTATAAATTTATAATTTATTTTAAAATATTTACAATATTAATTGATGTATTATATATTAAATGATAAATATATTAATAATAAATAAAAATATATAAATAATTTAACAGTTACTATAGTTAAAAATGAATATTTTATTTCTTATATTTTACACTAAAAATATATAATTATTTCTCATAGATAAGATTAGAGACAGTATTATATTATTTTAATTCTTAGCTCTTTCACTATTTGCAGTCCGAATTTGAATTCCATGTCGTGCAATCTCAAAATGAATGGGTAAAAAAATAATCGAAGCAATTTAATTTTTCTTGTTATATAGTAAATTTAATGGATGAGATCGGTGCAGTATGTTTGAAAATTGCAGAGGATCTCGATCGGTTATTTATATCATTATGCTGTTTATAATTATTTTAAGTTTTTTAAGTTAGTTATTTTATTTTTGTAGAGATTTATCTTTAAGAGTTTCTATGTACTTTATTTTATTTGAACATTGAATTTTAGAAAAGTAATATTTTATTTATTATAATTGTATATAATTATAATATATTTTTTAAATTATTATTATTTGGCAATAAAAACTCTTTAGGTGTCGCGTCCTAGTCATATATTTTGTTGATTAATTTTATGAGTTTTGCAACTGTTGAAACTCCTAGGGCTATTGGATCTCTTTCTTCTTACGTTGATTGGTTTCAAATTCTTATTACCCAAGCTTGTCTACTTCCCAACACAACATTTTCAATTTGACCATGACACCAGATACTATCGTTTTCTGTCGCCAACCACATTTTCTGGATCCTTCATTTCTCGGTCAACATTTCATCAATTCTATACTTGCAACTCATGAATCCATGCATAGTGGTTAAATTTCAAAAGTGTTTTAAGGATCCTTAACAGGATTTCATTCAAAGTTTTATAAATTTATGCTCAAAATTTATTTATCATGCATGTTCCATCAACTACAAATAATGAGGTTAAGGTATAATAACCTATTGTTAATTAAACCTATTTGAATCTCTACACAACAATACATGCACGGTTAATTTC